GTTCCTAACATCCTGCGAGGGTTTACGGTTCTAAGCGCGGCCGCCCTCACTTGATTCCTCAAAGGCTCGTAATTCCGCATCCACCCACTCTTTGAATCTCTTCTGAAGCTCCGCACTCTTAAATCGAGGCCCCTGTTCCGAAACGCGAGCCCAAGGAATAAAATACTAGAAAATTTAGTGTTAGGTCATTCAATTAAGGAGCTATGCTTCATTACTCACCCCACCGGGTTCATTTCCAGCTTCAGGCATGGTGGCAGCATATAACTGCGTCAGGGCACCCATTCTGTGTTATCGGACAGTTGATAAGTAACCTTGTACAACCTTCAGAATCTGACCACGTACGGCGTTGGTTTCAATAACGCCTTTGAGAGTATTTGCTCAAAGGAACTACCATGCCTGTCAAGATAAAAATTAGCTATGTTCTAAAGCAACAAAATTATTCAATACCTCTGAAGTTCTGACCGAATTACACCAGGGTTGACCGAATAAGACGATAACTCATCAGCATAAAAATGCTGGAAAATATTCGAAGTCAAAACGTTTGCCTTGACTAGGTCAGTTTCCTTTCACATCGTGAGTACCGAGAGATCGCATACAAATTTACTGATTCCATAAATAATCCATCCTGCTCCCCTTCCTGGAATCGAGGAAACACCATACTCCTTTATCTTAGCATCGCGTGCTGGTCCGCCTTTGAGAACATCGAATTCTATTCCATCACCAGGCGCAGATTCAAATGCACTTGAGCTTGTGAAGACGACACGAGCTTTCTCGCCATTTAACCGGGTGGATTGCTTTAATAGGGGCTTTAAGAGGCTCTGTACCAAAAATAACATTATTAATTTCGGAAATGGTATCTGAGGCAATAAGGAACATACCGTAAAATAATAGTGACCGAGGACGTTGGTGCCTGTACATAGTCATCTTTAGCTTTCCAATATGATTCACAATACGCAGAGTCACGTACCGAAATCTAGAGAAAACCAAAAAGATTAGTAGATGAGCAAAACAGTAGGAAGAGCACATACGAAGGTCATAACCTTGTGCAGTAAGCTGGTCCAGAGGTACAAGCATAACACCCCTGGAAGATATTTTAGTTCTGAACATAGTGAATACCTAGAATACTTACGCATTATTGAACAAAATATCCAGCTTCTCCTCTTTATTCGTAAACTCTCGAGCTGCCCTCTTCACACTCGCGAGATCGGCAAGATCGAGATGCACAAATATCGCCTCTCTTCCCGTCTCTTCCCGCAATTTTCTAATAGCCTCGTTTGCCTTAGTCTCAGAGCGCGTGGCAGTATAAACTTTGGCATTCTTCTGAAGGAGAGCAAGGGCAGTATGGTAGCCTATACCAACCGCGCCGCCTGTGACTATTGCCACCTAGATAAACATAGGGATATAAGACCATGCTTTGAGGGAAAATTAAAACTGGTACCTTTCCAGTGAGATCAGGGATATCTCTAAGTGGATCGAAAGTAGAGGGAGGAGGAAATACGAGTTGAGAAAGAGTAGAGTCTGGGAAACATTTTACGAGGGGCTCACCGAGGATAGCGGCCATGTTAAGTGAGAAATAGGATGTAAATGAACTTGTTATCGTTTGTGACTTTGTCTCTCATCTTTTATACCTAGGCGTGCAAGGATTCACTACTAATACTCAGTGTCGATCATCCGAATTATGCATTAGTGTCAAGCTGCCGGGACGCGTTGGCTTTATCGAGCGGAGACGATCAGCTTTATCGAGTGGAGACGATCAACGCTCCACCGCGAATCCGATTGTGATGACAGAAGCGAGTTCGAGACAGGCCGAAGTGCCGAAAGCACTACGCGCCGCATCATTGCTCTATCCTACTGCATGCCAAGAAGGTTCATGATTACCCAATGATATACGAATGCAAATGACGCGGAGTCCGATGTGCCCAAATTGGATCAGTTGACAGGTTGCCGATAATATAGGATCATGAATGTGTCTAGTCACAGTATCTAGGTGCTTCTTGAAACAATGTTATAAGACTCGTTTACGAGCCACATAGCTAAAAAAAATATACCTCTACAGAATCAACCAAAAAATACGGCTTCCAAGGCACAATCCATTTCCTAGAAATAATAGCTGAACTCAGGGCGATTCTCCAGCCAATCTAGATCAGTATCTTACCTTCTCTTTCATAACGATCCTACGTAGTTCCTCTTCATATACTTTTACCTCCATTTGTTTCCGAGTGAGTGCGACCTCTAGTTCACTTTTACTACTCTAAACAACAAATCAATTCTGAAAATTAATAATCAATAAAGACTGTAGCACGAACCTTGAGTTTCTCCAAATCCTGCAACTGCCTTTCGATGGCGCCATTTAAATTATTTCTAACTTGAACGGGCACAGGCTGTTCCGGTCGTGCACGTCTATTGTTCTGTTTTTGGGGAAGGCAATTGTTGATGCGTTCTTCTTCGAGAGTTTGAGGATCTACTATTCGCGATTGACGTGTCGGGCCAGCACGATTTGCACGATGGATGACTACATCACGCCAAGTAACATCGGCGTTGGTTCCTTCGACTCGCTGAATTAATGTATGATTTGAATATGGATGATGTACAGAGGCACAGCCTGAGGTAGACGAGATTCATACCTTCTCTCGATTGGATAGACAATAATCATCGCTCTGACTGATAAGATGTACCTTATTCCCTGTCCCGTACGTGACTGTATGGGATCCTTGATCGCAATTCGATGCTTTTTCAAACTAAACAACAAAATAAGCTTCGAAATCTCTCTTAATATGAATATTACCTGTGGAGGAGCTCTCTTTGTAGTAGTGCAAGTTGTCGAATGATAAGCGGATCGTTTTGGTACAGCTGCAGTTGGAGTTATTGCATTTTGGCGAGAGTGAGGCTCCAGCACTTTTGAAGGCCTTCCCCTTCGACGAGATGTTGAGATAGGGAGAGTTGGTATCCTTATAATTCGGCGAGCGCGTGCGTTGTCCATTCCGACTAAAAAAAATGAAACAAACATGAAGCACATTTGGATTGATAGCGAAATACGAACCTCTATTAGCTGTAACATCAAGTATTAAATAATACCGAGAAAAGGGAAAGGATTAATCAAGACTCACATCTCCTCGGAATGTCTCTTTCCTCATCGCTGTCTCCTTCCGACGCCGCTTCGGCAAAAGATCCCTCA